TGTTTACATGACAGAGTGTGTGATTAGCAGGAGGCTGTGGCGACACTTTAATCAAATAAACAGCTTTTAACCAACGTCTGGAAAAACATAAACCTCAGCCGAAAACAAAATTATGCAGAAAATCCAGAACCACAAAAAACAAAACTTTATCAGCTGCCAGCGAGAACAGTAAAAAGAAAAAATGAAATCTGGTTTGGCTAAAAGACGTACTTGTCTTTTCTATTCATGATGATTCTACAATTTACTCAGAGCCGAGGAAACGGGTCACAGCGTCGGGTCTAACATGAAGGAACTCTGTGTCCGTGTCCGTGACAGCGCTCTGCCCTGAGAACATTCCAGCAGAGCTGCTGCAGCGTGCCGGATCACGCTCAATTCCTGGTTTTCCCAAAGTCACAGCTGAGCTGCTGCAGATGAGCGCGACGAGTTTTCACAGTTTGTTTTACAGAAACAGCTGCTCACAGCAAAGATCTGAGCAGCCGACGTTTCAACCCACGAAAATAAAGATGAAGAAGTTCACACTTCACACTCACCTGATAATAGGATTTAATCTGCCGGATTAGGATGGACAGGTTCTGGATGCGCAGCGTGGGGTCGTTGTTGACTTTCTTGTTGGTTCTCTGAACCGAACCCTTCGGATTTCTGTGGGATCAGAAAAGAAGTTTAGTTTAGATAAAAAGATAAAAGATTAGAAGGTGTAAAAAAAAGAATCTTATTCTTCAGAGTTCTTAACTCCAGAGCTCAGCTCTACATGAAGAGCTGTGTCTTATGGTAAAACTGTATCTTTTATCAAAGCTCTGGTGTAAAGTTCAACAGATCTCAGACGAAAAAATCTAGTCCAGTTCTAGTCACATATGGTAAATATAGAGCAAGGAACGAGACGGTGAAGGTTCCACGTTCTGGATTCGGGTTAATCTCATGACCAATAAAAATAAAGTTCCATGGGTCAGAAAGTTCAGCGACCAGACGGAACAAATATAAAGTTCCATGGGTCAGAAAGTTCAGTGGAGCAGAGAAAAAAACTGCTGTTAAACTGAGGTAAACAGGATTTGTGTCACTTTAACATCATGATCCACTTCATAACATCCAACCTCTCACCACAGGAACTACTATCGGGGGGCGGGGGGGGGGGTAGGTTTGTCGTTCTGAACATCTCCAAAGTTCACTGAAGAAACGTGTCAAAGGAAAACAACAAACAATGACATCATCTGCATAAAGAGGTTTTCCTCTAAACGTTTTCCAGTTCATGTGAAAAGTTCAGTGACTCCAGTGTCACACTGACTTGTTGTGCCTTTAACACTGCAGTGCTCTGTTTAATGAAGTGTGTGTGTCTGTGTGTGTGTCTGTGTGTGTGTGTTTGATCAAAAACATTAGCAGCGCGGTGTCAATGGACCCTGTGTCCAGTACCATTAGACCACGGACCATCGACGACCTCAGAAGGCTGAACCTTCCTAGGTCTGTTACTGTTGACATGTTCTCACCATGGTACTACACTGAATACAGTTCAGGCTGTACTGTAGTACGTAGTACCTGTTTGGTCAGAGTGTACAGTAAAGTACAGTTTGGAATTAGGTTCTGTCGTCGTCAACAGTAGAATACGCTGTTGTGCTGTTAGCAAGCAAGAATATCAGTCTTCTTAGATGGACAGTTACAATATCAGGACGGACAAAAGAGCAAATATGAGTTCTAGAAGTTACAAAAAGAATACATAAATATACTATGTTTGTACTTCAGTTTCAATTAACATTAATGCCTCTGTGCCTGCACACGGTCTGCACCATTTTGACATCATTGTCAGTGATTTTTTTTTGTGAATCTAACAAAATATTTAATCAGAGTTTGACGAATTTGCGATGTGAAACATTTGCATTTTATGTATAAAGTCTCCCGGCCGGGTTTCATGGTCTAGACCTCGGAGTAGATCCCACATCCCTCCAGAGATATTCCCGTTTCTTCTTCTAGTTTCTTCGCAAAGACACGATGCAGAGAAAGAGGAGGCTGTGCGTCGATGAAAGATCCCTGAGGGTCTGCGAAGTAAACGGAGAATGCATGACGACTGATGTTATCACGGGCGTCAACATGTTCCACTGAGCCACCAACATTCCACAGGTTAACTCGGCACCACCTTCACCCCGACCGCTCTCTGCTGCAACACCAACACCGACACCAGCCGACGCCGTTCTGCTGAACTCAACGCCTCATTACACATCGACACTTCAAAGACGATCCGATCAACCGAACCAGAGTCACGATCCGATGAGGGATTACTCCTTCACAGCAGGACAACGACACGTTCACCGATGCCCTGGGGCAAATACCCGTCTGTTAACTGCCACTTTACAGATCAGAGGCAGGACAAAGGAGCAACAACTGATAAAGTTTCAACGAGACACACCGTGTTTTCACTACTTCATCTGCTGCAGTGGTGCAGGAGGCTACGATACTTCTAGATAGTTCTGGATCACATGGTCCAAAAATATCTCCATAAATATATCTCCATCAAAATACAAAATATATATTTGTTCCCTATAACATGGTAGCTAAAATAACGAAGCCACAAATCACAAATGTCACAGGGAATTTATGCTAAATAATGAATGTACATGAAAAGTACTTAATACTAATTATTCTTATACTAAATAAAAATACACTTTTTTTAAACTCGTTCCTTTATGAAAACATGATATCTGAGAATTTAAAAAGTAAACAACAGCTGTAGTTTAAAAGTAAAAAAATAAACATTACTGTAGTATTATTTTTATCGGTCGTGTGACGAGATCTGCATGACAGGATTTTTAGGTCAACCCGTGGGCTGCGGCCCTGGAGGAAACCTCTGCAGCATCTGATGCTGCTCCATGTAAAATGGCTGAGAAATGATTCAGTTCAAAGGCCTCCGTGCTGTTCACGCTGCTCTGATGAGGACCACTACGCTGTTCTCCCGTTCAGCTCCGTCTTCGACATAAACACCATCCAGTCGTGTGAACGCCATGAATAAATGATTGAATAAATGATCTGTGTTGATTTATTTATGAAACTTTCCTGATGAAATCGTCAAAAAATAAAAAAAAAAAAAAAAGTCCCAAAAAGCGTTTCTGTTTCCAGTGTTGTTGACTTTATGACGCAGCAAAGACTTCAAAGCGTCAACGTGACATGACCTAAATATCAGGGTCAACACGGCATAT